CTTTTGCGCTTGCCGTGGCGCTGTTGCGCTTGCCGCGGCGCTGTTGCGCTTGCCGCGGCGCTTTTGCGCTTGCCGTGGCGCTTTTGCTTTTGCCGTGACAGTTGTGGGCCACCGTACATAAGGGCCTACGAAACACTTCATCCAGGCCTGTGTTGCACCTGAAGCTTATCAAGCTGAGATTGAAACATAGCGAATGATTATATGGCGGGGCGCGCTTAATTCAAACGAGATTGAGAACGAATTGGCAGAAGGAGAGGAACTTGTCGTTTAAAAACACACGCACAAAATACGTTACGCAACAGAGAACAACTGTAATAGGCCTTTCTTTTGTTTGTAAACATTAGCGCCATTTTGTATGGGCTGCCGTACGCGCATAAATTGAAGCCGTGGTTGGCAACATATTTTTCCAAAAAAGTCTTCATAACGCCATCAACACATGTATAGTACAAAGGTATATGAAAGAATTATTCTGTATCTTTGTTGAAAATGTTGTATTTTCAAGTATTAAATAATATTTTGGTGAACTATAATAACTATTCTCCATTTTTGCAGTGTTGGACCTTCCATAGTTTTGCAGGCCGTGGTTGGCAAAAATGCAGTTTGCCAACCAAGCGCAGAAAGGTCTATTGGCGTGCTGCGCCGTCGCTCTCTACAACGGAAAGGACAAAATAACCCGTCAACAATTAAAACTCATTCAACGACCCGATCTTAAGAATACAGTGCATAGTACATTAGGTTTGAAGCGGGAACTTGCATGCGATTAGTGAAATGGCATAGTGGTTAAATTGCTGACCCATCACGGTTGGAGAGTTGGGGGTTCGAATCCCGCGTGTGTCAGGTATTTTAGTTTTTACGCACTCCCCGACAATTTCTATAAAAGATTTGATTTCCAGTCCTAAAATACCAATAGTACCTTAGCTCAAGGGCGGATCCAGAACACAATTTTGAAGGGGCCCCAAAAAACGTCGAGATCCCGAAAGAGTCCTAAGGGATTGGGATGGGGCATCGTAATGGCCCATCCAATCCCTGAATGCTTGGCTAGCACATAGCTTGTTGATATTTTTAAGCCTCTGTTTTTTTTAAGCTTTTGTTTAGTTTGATATTTACATCTGATCGGCTTGTATCCGGTAGTATTAAAAACGAAACAAAAGTCCATGTCATAAATCAATGAATATTAATTGACTATAAATAAAATTAAGTTTTGTTCCATCAATATGACTACCATTATCAATGGTGTAATTTCCAATTGACGTAATATAAGAAATTCAATAAACGCCATACACAATATACATCTTTTAAATAACGTTTCTTTAATTGTGAACATTCCCAACAAAATAGCAATTCGCAAAATATGAAAAACGAAAGAAAACAAAGCCCTCACTCTTAAAATTGGAAAAACAAAATTGAAAAACAACGTCAAGTAGAACACAAGAAATGTACATCAAAGATTGAATTCTAAAATGCCATTACATGGGGAATTTTTTTTTTGGGGGGGGGGATTCGAACCCCTGCTCTGACTCAATAAAATAACGCTATTCTGCAGCGGTTATTATGTATCTTTTAGGCGCCAGATGAGTGGCAACATTTTTTTCTTTGGAAAGGGGGAGTTTACATAAGAGTAACGCTGGACGTTGTGGAACCCCACTCATTAAAAGCGTTGCTCTTTGATAGGGAGGGTGCAATGGAAGGGTATTGTTTCATTTAGGTAAATTTTAGTACAAACGAATTAATCTAACAAAATGGAACCCTCCGTTTTGTCCACGATATTTTGCTCTTGAATCATAATCATCATAAAATATAATTCGATTTTGATAAATGACACATTACACACCTAAGTCTGTGGGCGGAACCTGGGGGTGGAGGAGCGGGCAACAGCATTTCAAAGGGGCCGCCAAGGGCGGATCTGCAACAATTCTCACAAATATTTAAAGTAAATTCGAGAAAAAAAAAGAGAGGGGGGAGGTGATTGTGGGCTTGGGAGGAGCTGGAACTCAATTAACGCCACGAGGGCGCTCTAAGAGCTCCGTGCGCTGAAGAGGGCACCCTTTTACCTAACGACGCCCCATGAGCGGGACATTTCACTGGTTGACGCGCACCATCCCTTGTGTGTGACGCACGCACACCAGGGGATTTGTTCTATTAACACGCAGTGGCCGCGCTTCGCGGCAAATGAATTGCAATCAGGCAAGATGGCGTCAGTCAGTCACACCAACTGTACTTTCTTTGCCGGTGAGGGGGTGCTTGTGAACGGAGCGGATAGCCGTGGAAGCTGCCCATTATGTTCAGGCCTGATATCAACTTCAAACATTTTTTCTTTTATTTTTTGACGAAACAGAAGTTGTGGATTCTTCCTCTTGCCGTAAAATTGTTTGTGGAAAATAGCGAAATTTCGGGTATATTACGGGGTGCACACCAGAAAATAGGCCGGAAATTGTCCGCCGAGCTCACGAATAAAAGTTACACTTTCAAATTATTGTATATTACAGAGTTTTACGAGACATTGTCCGAGTCTGTGTCCGTCAAAAAGTGGAGTGGAGTTCAGAATCGAGTCAGTCCTTCAACCATGCTAGTCGCTCCGGTGCTAACACCAGAGAAATACCTACCCACATTTTAAGACACGTAAATGTGCGAACTCCGCATCTGCTTTGTAAAGCACTCGACTACAAGTTTCTGGACAGCCAATATACGTTAGGGGCCTCCGATATTAGGCAAAAAAAAAAAAATATTCGGTCTCTGGTCAGACCAAAGTTCCGGAATTGACGCGGCCACGCGGCTTTTTTTTTTTTTTTTTTTTTTCCTTCACGCTTGGATTGTACAGACAAGATGGGTACTATTTTGCTTTTTTTGGTGTCCTCATGTTCATTGGTGTCCTCCATAATTTGCCTTGGTGCTTTCGATCATTTGCCTTGGTCCAATTTCCCATTCCTTGGTCCCCTTTGGTAAAAAAAATTGAGGAGGTGCGGAAATAGAGGGCGCTGTTGGAGCTACTGTGGAACATTTTGGAAAAAAAAGATCGACGCGCATGATTAAAATCGACGCGCGCGCTGACCAGAGACCGACTTATTATTTTTTTTGGCCTTATGGGTGATGGGCAGAAAAGGAGGTGCAGCCATGGTGTCGTTAATGGAATTCGATGTACAATGCAATTCAATGCAATGCAGTACAAAGGTCATTGCTAATTAAGCGCTCTTACTTGTATGGTTTCACAGTGCTGAACAATAAGTATAGACCATTATGAAAACGTGATTCATTAATGACATAAATATGTCTTAATGATCTTTCCAAAGACAGCCAAGGAAGTTCAATACATGCGGGAGATCATTCCAGAGCCGAGGTATGTGTCTCGTGGATACAAGCACATGTTCTGGGCAAATGGGACTGGCCAGGACTTGCAGAGTGATGCGGCATGATGAGAGAGCCAAGATAGGTCTTGTAAACAACAGTCAGAATTTTAAATATAATACCTTGATTTATTATGTTTAACTAAATTCCTAGCCAAATTTTTAATAATTATAGTAAAACCAGTCGATATTTTGACTAGGTTGTTTTGAGAGTGTATTTTAACAAGGAAGTGACGTGATCGCGTTTTGGAGTCTGGAAGACTACACAATTTGCTTTGCTGCACAGAATGAACCATTTGTTGTTTATTTATAAGAAGAAACCCCGTGCAGAAACAGGTAAAATTGTTCAGATGTTTGCAGTAAAATGTTGATTGTCTTTGCAAAAAAACTTTCTCCCCGAATTACGCAGTATGAATGCAGGAAGTTAAAAAAAAAATTAAAGTGTAAAATTATTACAATTTGTATGAATTAAAATTAGACCATCGGCCTCGGTCCAAAATATAAGCCATTTGTATCAAATGAGGGGAATAATCATTATAGCGATTTTTGGCAAGGTATACACTTCCAAAGTTTGAAAATATGTGATAGCATTGCAGCAGTGGCAGCTTTTTGGATATTATCACTTTTTTCCAAAATGTCCTTCAAAATGCGTGTTACTACTCTAGGGGCGGTATATACCTTGCGAATGCGCACTATAATCATTTATGCCCTGATTTGATACTGATATGACCGAACCTCCTGGCAGATGGCCTAAATGACATACAGGGTGAGTCAAAAAGCACGAAACCCAAATGTCGGGACTATTGTTTTAGTGAAGTTCTGCATTAGCACTTTCAAAATCTCGGATATGAGAGCCAAATTCATAAGCTTTCTTTTAGTACAAGAAGCATTCCATTCAGTGTACTTTTCAAGTTACGAGATTTTAAACACAACCACCGTTTTAAAGTTCTGTCCACGGATCACACAATATGTGTGCGTCCTTTCGGCAAAACGAAAACAATTCACACACATCCCTATGTGATTTGTTCTCATTTTGCTGAAAGAACAATTACCTTTTTGTGATCCGTGGACAGAACTCTAAAACGGTGGTTGCGTTTATAAGTCAGTAACTTAAAAAGTACATAAGTGATTTGAATGATTCTTATACTAAAAAAGCTTATGAAGTGAGCTTTCATATCCTAGATTTTAAAAGTGCTACATTTAGAACTTCACTAAAACAATGGTCCCGACATTTGGGATTCGTTTTTTTTTTACTCACCCTTTATAACGGATATCATCGCTGTAGCCACGCGAAGTCAACCGAACGTTGTTGGATCATATGTTGTTGAACGGACAGAAGTTGACTAAGAGGGAGGTCGTACTCTGATGTTGCTAGATTTTTCGGTCTTGGGTTTGCACAACTTGTAATCTATTTTCATGTTGTGCCAATATAAATTTGGAAATATCGGCTGCTTTGATTTTAGGATGTTGACAATTTGCCACGATGTCTTGCAAAACCTTATCTATCACCAGAGATGGGGTGGGAATTAAACAGCCAAAATCAAAACGATTTCACCAAAACAGTATAAACGTTTCATAGCATTCTGTGCATAAAGCTGATGTGTAAAGAATAGCTGCAACAAAATTAAACATCAATGAAAAAATCTCTTAGACAAAATGTGGTTTACTTTTAATACATCAATATTTATTTCATCCTTTCATTTGTTGAATTATTTATTCAAAAATATGGCAGCTATAATTATACTTGGCATCCAGAGATAGGAAAATAATTCTTTAATCAGGAAATTTCAAACTTTAATCCCACTTTTTTGATCACAAGAAGTAGTGCGTCACGCCAATCTCACCCTTCCGGTAATACCTGAAAAATGAAGGAGATCAAAAAGGAAAACAAATTAGCAAACTATGAAATGTGAGCTGCTCAATTCAAAGATGTTTCCAGAATGGATTAAACTCACTGTTTTCCAAATGAATAGGTGAAAACATTTGTCACCTAATAGTTAAATAAACACCGCGGGAAAAAAGGAGAAAGTCCACACTCATTGGAAGGATATAATTTTGAATCTGATCGTCTTACATGTATGATGACACAATGTAGCTATCAAAATATCCCAAAAGGTTTATATAAACGACGTCATCATTAGACAATCAGATTAAAAGTAATAACCCCTTCAATGAGTGTAGACTTTTTTTGCAGTGTTTAGTTAACAGTGGGAAGACGAAAAACCGTCCCTACTAAAATCCATCATTAAGATCAACGAATACATGTATTTTGTCACATTGACTATAATGACTTTGTTAATAGGTTGCATCTTTACCGAGGACGCACAACTAACTGCAATGAAGTCAAAAGGACACAGTCTGACTCGATGGCTAGATAGCCTTTTGACAAGGCCACAATGGTTAGCTTCGAATAGGCCAGTTCGGTATTCCAACTGCGCATGTGCACATTTGCCGTTTTTTCTTTCGGGATAAAAATTTCATCGTATCCGTGCAAAAGCATAGCGGGGTACCAGCAAAATTGAAGAGATCGTCGTGTTCTTAAATATTCCATTTTGAAAAAAAAAACAAAAACATGTGGACAGCGAAGTGTTTTTAGGTGTCTTGTGTGTCAAAACGTTTTGCGAACGAAGGTTCCATCTCTTTTCGATTGCACGAACAATTGTACAGAATGCAGATTTGGTTACCACGTCCCCCATTGTCTTGTGCATTTATCTGCCGCGGTCATCCCCCCAAAATCGTCGAATCTTGCTGTGCGCCAGACTATATTGGAATACCGAACTCGCTTATTGGATACCAAGGTTTGTAGACGTGAGGCACATTGAGCGGTGACTAGACGGTACTGGCCGTGTGACGTTTTCATGAGGCCTTTTTGGAATTGTTCAAGAAGTGGAAAGTCATGAGTAGCTAGCTAAACTTGTGCAAACTCCTCACCTATTTAGTTGCCGATGTACAGCATCTTGTTGGGGGAGCCCCAGCCAGGGTTGGACACCACGTTGGAGGTGGCGCTAGCCAGCATGGAGGACTTCAGGGCGGCTGGGCTCAAGCTGCGGTTGTTACCAAGCATAACGGCAGCAGCACCTGGAGACAGAACATAAGAACAGGTGTACATAAGTTAGCCTGTGTCATTAAATCAATGAAGGCCCATCATGTGTTTTCGACGTTAAAAAAATCTGGTGTAGACATTCATGCCTCTGAATTGAATGAACATTAATTAACGAGACATAATGGGTTTTTTTTACATCCATATCTTTCAAAGCCCAATGTAATGGTGGTGTAATATCTATAGACCAGATGCACAGTAAAGGAAATGCAAGACCCTAATATCAACTACCCTAAGGGTATATTATTAAAGTGTTTAGAGAAAAAGACGAATTCATTGAAAAATAAGAACACGAGACTCAACAAACAAGCAACTTCATTATGATAGCAAGTCTTTACCATTCTGAAAATTCTTCCTAAAGAGGTCATCAATTTACCTGCCCTTTAAACATAGATAGTGCCGAAAAGGTCACAAGGCTTCTAATCATTCCTCCACCCTTCTAGAGTCCCTTCTAGTATTCTATTTTTTAAAAATCCATAAGTCGTTTCCAGGCAAAAGAGGTAAGATGTCTTACCAGAGACGTGTGGACAGGCCATGGAGGTACCACTGATGGTGTTGGTGCCCCAGTTGGTGGTGTACCAGGTGGAGGTGATGTCCACACCTGGAGCGAAGATGTCCACACAGGTACCGTAGTTGGAGAAGGAAGCACGGGCATCGCTGCTGTCAGTGGCACCCACGGTGATGGCCTGTGGACCCAGGTAAATTTGGGAATAAGGGCTTAGTTATTTATCACTTGCAGTGAGACAGCAAATATGTAGCATTCATAGAACCGGGCTCATCGAGCTTTTTGAAAAGGCCCTCGTGACTTTGGAATGCGGAACCAAGCGAAGAAAGGATTTCCACCAAAAAAGGGTTGAGAAATGACAAAAGACATTCTTCAACTGGCGTTGTAGCTATACCTCTCAGTCAAGTGTAGCCAGAGTCTAGTCACGATGGTCTTATCAAAATGCCATTTCTCGCACATTGTGAAACAAGTCATGCTCATGAAGTCATGCTCCTCTTCAACACGTTCCGGTATTACAAATATGTGTTATTGTGCGTGGTACAAGAGACCAGGGAATTATTAATAAACTATCTGCGTTCTTCATTTTGCAAAATTGTTCAGACTTTTTGAAATAAGTGAGCCAACTCACGTCAGAGACTCTAGCGGGGGAGGAGTTGCAAGCATCCACGTTCTCGTTACCGGCGGCCGCAGACACGGTGAAGCCGAGGTTGATCAGGTTCTGGACGGCGCCATCGGTAGCAGTGGAAGCACCACCACCCAGGGACATGGAGACTACAGCGGGCAGCTGGCCGTTCAGACCAACCTGGTCAATACCTGTTGATTCAGGAAGGCGGGGAAACCCGTCACATTTGAAATTGTGGAGAGCCTGTTTAATGTAAAATGTGGTGACATTTTACGCAAGTAAAGAGTGAGGACAAAGGCGGTGCCTGCCATGTTAACGCTTAGCCTATGTGGTTATGTTTTGGCCTTATTCTTGTTTTCCATTAGGACACAATTTTTAATATAATAACCCAGTTTAGATCGCAATCTGAGGATTTGAAGTATTTGCTGGTTACAGCATTTGCAAGCAGAGTTTCAAGGAAGATCACTTCGTTTTTGTACAACTTACCGTCGACAACACCACTGTTGGAGCCGAATCCGATACAGCTGAGCACACGGACACCGTACAGGCTGGCGCTGGTGGCTACACCGTAGCTCCTGCTGCCCACGGTACCGGCACAGTGAGTTCCGTGACCGTTGCAGTCAGTACCTGATCCACCGAGAGCATCATACCAGGCCACGGCACGGCCGCCAAACTCCCAGTGAGATGGGTTGACACCGGTGTCGACCACGTACACGTTAACACCAGCGCCGGTTCCTATAGGAAGAACACACGGACAGAAATACATTAATTGCTTTATTTCTGTAAATAATAGGTTTTAAAAAAGTGATCGGAACCCAGTCAACCCACGATTTTCTTTGTTCTCGTATAGTTTTTCATAATAGTAGAAGAGCATTATACTCTGCTTAATATTATTCAGTTCCATTCAGCATTCGGTTCGACATCTGAACACATTCAGCTCCTATTTATTTACATTGTGTTAAATATGGAAGAACAAAAAAGTCTGCAACTCTTTTTGTTTATAGATTGGATTGCGAATGAACAAAACCATTTTGAACTGAGTCGAACCTCATCACTTTCAACTCAATCTATCGAATCTGTGACTCGACAAGATTCGAGAAAAAAAATGAAAACCGTCTTAAAATACATTGTAAATTAGTAACCCAAGACTTCCAAAATGGGAGTCACACACTCACAGTCAAACATTAGAGATGAACTTAGGCCCCAAGTACATGTACAGGATGCTTTTGGAACAAAGAGTTATTATCATTTTATAATATAAAAGAGACGTTTTACTCAGAAATCGAGCTAATATGTGATCAGAAGTGCAAGTTACTGCGGGTGCAATTGAATTAAACCACGGGTGCTTTGGTGCAACACCAGTGCACATTCCAGATTTGTTTTGATACAGAAGGGAGTTTCTTACCAGCGGGATTGAAGGAGCCATCCAGGGGAAGGTAACGCTGATCCACACGGTCAAGACCCCAAGTAACGGCCTGGGTCTTGACGACACCATCCTCCTCGACGTACTCAACGCCATCGAAGCTACGGATCTGCATGGTAAATAATACAGTAGGGCACGAGGTATGGTATAACATGGTGCTGCTGCTGATGGCGATAACCATAAACATTGTAAAACAAAAAGGCCATTAAATGAAAATTGCCTTCATCTTCCTTTTCCTCCTAAACTAGGTTCAAATACCCCAGAAGAATATGCTGAGACAAACCCTGGGAATCAAGTAGGGACTGAAAACCCAGTGAGGGTCTGAACCCAATACACATATTCCAGGTGGAAGGCGAGGAAAGTACCGCTACGCCAACCTGACTCCCCTATTATCGGATGGTGAAAATATCAACTTACAGAATCAATGAACCTGTCTGGGATGCTAGCCACGAAGGCGTTCATGACCTTACGGAACTTCTTCATGACAGCGACGGGGATGTTCAGGCCCCTGGTGCGGGTCTCAAGACGGTCAACAAACTCATCCAAGTTGGAGCCCTCCTGTATGGGAGAAACAGATTACGGGTAGGTCATTTCGGTTCACAGTTGACTTATTATGTAAATGCTACCATTAATTAGTTAAATTTATTACAGGGCCTATTTTGTTGGCCGTAAGGTAAAACCATCTAGAGTGACCTAAATGTCGGTTAACCCCGAAGGGGCCGGGGGGGGGGCGGAATCCGCCCCCCCCCCCCCTCAACATTTTCCGTGAGCTGTTATGACTTTTTAGCCTCGAGCCTTGCGCATCTTTTGATACCAAAAACATAAAAATCGGACCACGGGTTGCCGCGTAGCGAAAAATTTTCCGGCGCTACGCTCCGTGAAAACTGATTTTTCGCATATACGTCGTGTACATAGAGCAGAATTGCCATTCGTACATATGAATAATTAATTAGCCATAATTCCAAAACCCTTTGGCCTATAGTCATGAAATTTCTTGGGTATGTTAAGGAAGAGTTGCTCTATGCATGTGCCGAGTTTCAACATTTTTCGTCACTCGATGGCCGAGATCTTAGGGGGGGGGGCGGAATCCGCCCCCCCCCGGCTGAGAGATGGTCAAAATAATCCGGCCCCTTTAGGGTTAAAACGATTGTCAGTGAGTAACTATTCAAATTAATCTTCTTTTTCTGATTAGTCTTTCTATAGATGAAAAGGAGTTTAGATCTCGAAACCTTGGATAACGTTTTTTTTAATACCCGCATAAAAAAGAAATGAACAATTTGTTGCTCAACCCTATTCCCTGAATTTTGGTAAAACTGTTGGGAAATTCTTCACAAATGTTGGTAAAATCTCGAGCGAAGAAAACAACGTCTCGAATGAATAAACATGCATCTCGAATTTGCGGTAGAAAGACATTGCACGATATTTTGTAACATTCTGCTTAACCAGAAGGACCCAACCTAATGCTGTCCGACTTGCTAAGTCACTATAATTATGTAAGCTAAATTAGTACCATCCCATTTTTCAGTTTCACTGTTGAGTCTCAGACACAATTCTGATCATATTCTAGCCCAAATTGTAGTGTTACTTTTGGCGTTGTCTACTCTTACCTTGAGCTTGATGATGTATCTGTTGGGGATGTGCTGGTTCACCTTCCTGAGGGGAGCCAGGGCGGCGCTGGCCGCGGCCACGCACAGACACAGGAGCACGAAAGTCTTCATGGTGAGATGGGTTCTGTGATGGGACAGAGAAATTCACCTGTCAATCCATTACCAGTTGGCTTGTTTTAATCTGTTTGATTAGGCTTTTCCTCTAGATTGAAGTTTAGTACGCGTATACATTCAGAGCATTATTTTGTCTGCTCAAAAAGGTAGAGACACTACAAGAAATAACATAAGAAATTCGGACAAAGTGCGAAAGGCATCGTGACTTCGTCACGTCGTGCGTTGTGGCTTCATCTCCCAGCCCAATGCCTGCCTGAGTCACGAGGGCCTTGTCAAAATGGTACACAAACATGTACTACAATGAAAGAACAGTGAAATGCCGCTACGAACACCGATATAACAAACATCCCTTTGGCTCCCGAAAGAGTAAATTCTACAAAACAATACTTCGAAAATGTAGACCAACATAATGCAGAAAAACAGTGACCGTGCAGCAAGCCATTTTCCCCGTCACTTACCTGGTTAGTCAGGCTTGTAGAAGCTTGTGGTCTCAATGCTCCCTCAGCTTGTCTTTTATAGCCACTCGGTCCCAACTTGCAAACGTGCTTGTCGGAATTGTAATCTTACTTTTCCGGCTTAGCTTGCGTAACTGAAGCCGCTTAAAACTTGCCTCCTGTAACAGGTGTCGCAGCTCCCATAGGCGCATAGTTTTTATGTGCGAGTGATACACCTCCAATAGCCGAATGTCCAACCCCCTATTTCCCAGTTCTTTATTCTAGTTCTGATATTTCTTGCAATAAAGCGTATATTTTTCTCGTAAGATCAGAATGACACCCTGCTTATAATTCTTCCTTCCTCTTTCAATAAATTAATGGAGACATACAAAAGAATTTTCGAGTTAGACCGCAGTTTCGAGTTAGACCGTAGTTTAAAGGGCCCATGAAAGGCATTTTTTTTAATGCAGTCCATGAAAATGCACATTTGTGTCCTATTTAACCTTTTCTTTTTCAATTTTCGTTTTGTCAACTCAATTGTATTTTGGTGCCTTTTGTGTTGTTATGCTAATGCGAATTTCCATATTCATGAGGGAACTTGTGATGTCATCGCTGTGATGTCATCATGGTCAACCTCAATTTTACAACTATTCCAGCTCAAAAGAGTTGCTAGAACTTTGGATATTTTGCTGTCGTAAATTTTCTTTCGTTTAGTGATTCGTTTGTTGTGTCAGTACATGGCAGTATTTACCAATGAACAAGCCTTTCTGACGAACTTTTTTTCAATGAGCAAATTTGTGGGTCCACAATAATATTTGAACAGAAAAACCTGAACTAAAGAGTGTCTTCCTGAATGACATCATAGCAACAACGCCCTCAGTTGTTCAGAAAATCATGAACAATTTTAAATAATTATAGAAGCGCACTCTTCAATGCCATTAACTAAAAACGGGTGTCAAATAGTTTCATACATTTAAAGAGGAGTAGAAATTTGCAACAAACATGTGTTCCCAAATAAGAGACATTCAGCGCATGAACCCTTTGATGCATATCCACGTTTTTAATGGCAAAGGCGATGCACAATTTGGCAGGAACGTCAAAATGAATATATTGGGTTGTTTTTCATGCCGGTGCACTCTAAACATGGAGTCGCCAGTATATTGTAGGGTGACGGGTAAAAGAAAGAGGAAAATGGGAGATGGGGGCGCTTTATGATAGCGGAAAACATTCAATTTCTTTTTGTTTGTAATGTTAAAAGTGGGGGAGTAACTAACACAATATTATTGATTTCGCCCTCTTTTTTTTAATTCACTTTGTAGTCTTCTTTTCTTAATCTGTGGGTTCCCCCGCGTGCACGCGGTGTAGTGAATACGATTGAAATATCGCTTCATAATATTTCTCAACGAACCATTTATTTCTCTCTCTAGTTGGCCGATCGAGACACACATTTACATCTTTGGAGGTTGGACAATTGGATGTTTTTCGCCATGAAGTAGAACGCGCTGTCACCTTGCATCAATATTGATTGATTTTTATGCAGGGATACTATTATGCAAGGACTGTCCGCAATGTAGCATGAGACAAGTCCCACCTGCTCCATCTAAATTGTTGCTTTCTGCTGATTGAGGATGCAAAATAAACTGCAAGGATTTCGGTAAAGAAGAGCCACAGTCACGAGGGAAAGAATGCTTGTACTGCTTGTCTGTCCGAATATAGTAATCGGAAGTTGTGAAGTAATTCCTTGATTAAACGTGTGGGCTGATTTTTCATCGGTCGGTGCCAATGTCTGATTTGAATGTAAATTGTACTTGTTGCTCTTACTAAACAGTAATTACAAAATGCATTTTTTTCTGTGCAAGCTCGGAAAAAGCACGGCAGGGGCGGATCCAGGAATTTTCGCAAGTGGGGGGGGGGGGGGGGACGGGGGTTCATCAAAAAGCAACAGGCCTCCGAAAATCAAATGGGGGAGGGGGGAGGGGGGGGGGAGCTCGTACCATGCTTTCAATGGAGGCGCTGTTAAAATCAGACGATTATTAACACTATATCACAGAATAGTGTACATAATGCCCCTAACCAAGCTTGCTCTGTCCGTATTTTGTGCAAAAGGCGAACATTAGTACCAGTAAAAAAAAATGTTTGTCAGAGCGGGGTGGGGGGGGGGGCGCAATTTTGTTTTAAAATGAATGTCTATGGAAATATGTTTTGCAGACAGTATTAGTATAAAATAGATAGAGTAAGAAATAAGGATTATACTTAACAGCCACTATCACAGTCAATCTTAAGCGGATAGTCTAAAAGTACGTAGTTTGCGGATTATTTGCTCATCTATTGTGGTGTTTTATCGGCCCGCTGTATTGTATCCAAAGATTAGTGTCTTTCTGAAAGGTTATTTGTCATTATAAATCCAATGTACCAACGAAAATATGTTCTTGTGTAATGGGTAAAATAGGCCATACTAATTAAAACTAGAAGGGGGAAATATGAGGCACGTGTGGTATTTTCAAACAACGATGAAAATAAAAAACCAACAGCAAAAGTATAGCCATTTTGGGACTCATCCCAAATTCCAGCAATAGCCCCTTAGCTGGTTCAATAACGCACTGCATGCCGGAGACGCCAATTTAGCCTACGGGAGTAATCAGTTGCTTTTGTGTTCATTCTCTACAAGGTTTCTAACGACGCTCTTTATTTGTAAAAATAACGGGCAAAAATAATGGGTCATTAATTCATCTACGTGGATGATTTTGTAATTATGAAGGCATTGTTCCCACCCTGCCCCTCCCCCCCCCCGGCGGATTTTTTTGACAATTTGTTTTTGTGAGCAATGATTGAAATAAATGTTATAGAGTTCTTCTGACATCAATCCTGCACCAAAGAAAATCGGCTCAACAACAGTTACAATGCGCCGTGATAATGTCCATATAATAATATTATATGTAGTACAAGTACGCATAATAATGGTCAGTTTTGAAGAGCGCCCCCATTTGGAAGATGGGTACCCCCCCCCCCCCCCTGCTTTTTGATTTTACGGAGGGCAAGTGTCTGTCCGGACAAAAAAAAACCATGTCTACATTTCGGGGCAGATGTGCGGTTGCCCCCCTGACACTAAAAGCTGGATACGCTGCTGAAGGCACTTTACCATTATTGTTTCGTCCTTCGGATGGGACGTAAAGCCGTAGGTCCCGTGTTTTGGGTAATGCACGTAAGAACCCAGTAACACTTAAGAGAAGGGGTTTGCCCTGGTGTTTCTGGCAGTGGCTGCAATATGCGCCGCAGCACCTTGTCAACCCTTATAATGTGCTACATAATGAGTCTCATATTTCTGATATACTTTATTTACCTTTCTTTGATAATAGACATAATTTCCAGCGCCTTGAGTACCTCATTGTTGGTAGATACGTGCGCTATATAAGACTCCGTTATCATTATTTATTATTATTGTATTAAAATCGTGAACATCGTCAGACCTATTTCAAAAGGCATATTCAAACTATTTACAATGAGATTTTGTAATCAAAACTTGAATCAGAACAGACGCAGAGGTAATACATGTACAGGTACACACACGTTTGTACGAGGATTTTCTTTTATTCTTCTTCCCTTTTCCTTTGTTTGTACCTTTTCGCAACAGCTCTCATTGATTTTGTGAACGTTTTCTAATCTAGGTCGTTCTCGATTTGGTTCCTGTCCTCGATTCATCTATGATGTTGCACGTGTGTGTCCTCGATTTACTCCATAAACTAACGCTGTATAACGATCTTTGCAGGGTAGTCTACTCTGCTCCAATCGCCGAATGTCCAATCTTGATATTTCGTGCTATAAAGCGTATATGTCTCTCGTAAGATCAGAATGACACCCCGAATATGATGTTCTTTTCCTATTTCAATAATGTAAGCATATACAAAAAAGTTTCCATCGAGTTTGACCGTATTTATATACATGTACATATCCAAGATTTTAATGACACGGGCGATGCACAATTTTGGCAGGAACGTCAAAATGATTGTTCAGTTGTGTTGATGGCGGTGTAGCATGGACTACCCAGGGGAGGGGAGAAGGAGGAGAAGGGGGCGGTGGGGGATGGTGGGGGACGGGGGGGGGGGGTCTTTTTCAAAGCGGGTGCATTCGATTTCTTTTTTGTTCGTAAGAGTTAAACCAGGGAGTGGGGATTCTGCTAGTATCAGTTACGAGGTGCTTTCAAACTAACCCAATACATGTATTTGATTTCGCGGGGTGACGTGCTTCGCGCGGCACCCGCTAGCTGGGTGGGGTCATATACTTTTGTATTACTTTGACCCCAATTTGACCTGAAGTGGGCGTGATAAACCTCGGTGCAGCAATTTTGCCACCTTTTTCATCATGAACGTTATGTTCTGCGTAATAGCGATACGTTTCGGAGTGTTTTCATAGAGATAATGTTGTTGGCCTAATAGTTAAGTATTCAAAGTCTGCAAGAAACAAATTTGCCAACAAACACCCCCCCCAAGTCATTTTGCACGTGCCAACCGTGACTTCAGAGGACAGTGAAATCGTAGCAAATGACTTCAGACTTGTATACATATCTTTCCATGAACTGTTGCACTTTGTGTGCTTCTGCAGACTCCTAAGGCATTTTACAAAAACGTAACCATCTTTTTGTCGAGTGCAAAATGATCAAACCGGTGGGTGAGTGGCTCAGTAAGTACCTGAGCAGTCTCAGCAAAGAAACCAACATTCCTGACGCGGATTTGCTGATCTATTCTGGATTTACCAACAACAGAGGCAAACAAATTGAATTAAAAATGGTGCGTGCTCTCAGTGCTTACAGCACGCCTGTTTGGATAACCCGATGCAAAGCATAATTATAATTTCAGCACTCGCACACTACGACAGCCAACATGATCAACATGATTAAAACTTACGGCATGTAAATCCGCGTCAGGAATACCTAGTCCTCAGACCATTTGCGTTTCCTTGTTTTTGCCTTTACAAGGACAGCTTTCCCGTTCGATATTTTACGAAATGTTCCAAGAAGAGCCAATTTTCTTTCAATTTTTGTTTCTTCCGTTAATTCTTTTGAAACACAGATGATTTAATTTCCTTTTAAT